AATATGATCCACCGTTATACAGTGCACTTAACGTTCTATGTGGTAGTTTCAAAAACCTGGTGCCAGAAATTAGGTCTTTAACTCTCATCTTTCGACACGGCTGTTCAAAACGTCGGAATAAATTGCAGTTGTGTCACTAAGCCTTACTATCATTTAAATGGAATTAAACTAGCTTTGTAATTCGTTGTTTTTAGTGGTCTCATGTCGTACATAGCGGAAACTCACGTTTCTCTGAACAGTGCTTTCTATTTATAGTACTAATAAAGCCATATTGTGTTTTGTTTTCTTTCTTAAAATAAAAGTGGTTTAGACACAGACTTTTCTCACTCTAATATATGACATTGTATTAAATTTCAAAGTTAACGTGGGCGGAAAGCATAAATTCTGCTAATTGAACGTGACGGGTATTTTCGGTTTATTTCATATGAGATATAAGATTTGTATAACGTAAATATGCCAATGAGGGTTTCGTGGAATTGATACATCTACACATATACTAATATTATGAAGTGATTTTTCGCCATACATCACATTGATACATCATCGTGTTTAGATTTCTTGAGAACTATTTTCAAGCTTCCACTGCTCACACATGCATGATACATCTGCTTTCCGAGACGTAGTTTTTAATTCTGAACCTCGAACAATTATAATTTCAACTTGACATTATCTTCTCACTTTTACGTGGTAGATGAACTACACATATACTAATATTATGAAGTGATTTTTCGCCATACATCACATTCTTTCCTATACATCTTTTTAATAGCGAAGAGAAATCCAAGCTGCCAAGGCTAACAAACAGTCAAATGAATCATATGTCAACGAAGCTCATGGTTTCAACGTTTCGGGGACTGGTGGCTATCGAGTAAGTAATGGGAAAGGTTTTAATTTAGACCGTGACTTGTTTCTAAAGATCAGTTACCGAAAAGCTTTAGAGTTGAGATGCATATCTTCCATAGCTCACTGAGAAATAGTTATCTTCGGCTTCAATGTATTTCATCATCCTGTGTAAACGTAAACGCATCAATTCACTTGTATAGTTGACCTTTTCATGTCTAATCCTCATCTACAAATGTGTAGCTACACTTGTTATCATCCGTAGACGAATGGATAAATTTGTTTCACGGTAAGTATATTTTTCCATGATCAGCTGTATGTCTTAGTTGATATTATTTCTATTTCATTCTCTCACTCATCTTATAAATTAATTTCCTCACTTAAGTGTGGTAGCATGGATCATCATCATCTCAAACATCTAACTCATTATCACCATCATCATCAACATCTAAACCATCATCATCAACATCTAAATCATCATCACCACCTAAATCATCATAATCATCACCATCTAAATCATAATCACCATCATCATCATCATCACCACCTAAATCATCATCATTTATATCATCTTCTAAATCATCATCTAATCCATTACCATCATCATCTAAATCATCATCATCATCTATATCATCATTATCGTCTTCTAAATCATCATCATCATCTTCTTAATCAACATCATCATCTAAATCATCATTAACATCTTTTAAATCATCATCATCACCATCTAAATCCTCTTCATCATCATCCTCATGTCTTTCTTCAGAAATACACAATGATTTGATTTCGTTTGTACAGATCTTTTCTCTTTAATATAATAATAATAAATAATAATTATCAATTTTTAATTGTTTCTCACGTGTCTTGTGGCTCCGTTTAAGAACGGGTCTCTACTTGTAAAACTTGAACATTTTGTAGATATTATTTACGGGTTGCGAATTATAAATAAATCATAGAACAGAAATTATTCGTTTTGTTGATTTAAATATGTCAGATAAAAAGAAATAGGAAGATCAATTGGCTATTGAATGGAGATAGATGTATCCAGTTGTATTAAGGATCTAGACAATTTATACAAATATCCGTTGATATTTGAACGAATGATTTGCCAGAAATTAGAGGTAGTGTTAATAGTGGTAATATATAGGAGAACGAGTGCGTATAATGACATAGTACGGGAAGAAAGAGTTTGTTCGTAGAAAGAAAGATACTTACCCGGTGATCCCAGCAGATGTGAGCAATATTTCTAAGGCATCTGTGGTCAAATACTAGTAGCTTAGCGGTTACTTGTATATAGTTTATATCAGAGAACATGAAATAGTTTATATGGTTCAGTATTGACAGATTAGTTATATGAATTTTAAAGAAAAAAACAGAATGTCATGGGAACAGGTTTATATTGAGGAATATGAACTACAATGAAAATAGACTGTTTGGATAAATGGAGGTCAGATAATAATGAAACACGGGGAAAAAGTTAATATAACTGAAAGCATGCGTAGTAAAAACTGAGGTAACCGGATCAAAGTAATATCGACAACCGTACAGTATCTTATCGAATGAATAAATTTAGTTTCAGCAAAGTATAACAACATTTGAAGTCATTTTCTCACAGTTTCTCTTGAAATGATACCATTACATCCAAAATGATCAGCGACTGGACAGCTTAGAAAACCCGTTTGTTTAGCCTATTCGTATCATATATCTTTTTAAGCAGTTAGTGCATGTTGTGAAGCCTACTGTCACACCGTTTGATGCTGACACACTTTTGTATATGATCTCAACTACTTAGGAGGAAGGACGGAAGGTAGGAAACTAAGTTTATTTGAGTAAATATGTATGTGGCGAGACTCTAATTCACAGACGAGCCAATCAGATGCGTGTTAGAGATTTCAAGGTTACGGCGCAAACTTTAGTGCTTTGTGCTAACGTACGGTCGGTTCACAGGGAATTTTGTACAAAACATGATAATTGAGCGGCTATAACAAATAAAACGGCGGGACTATAATTTGTGGACGAATCAATCAGGTATAAGATAATAGATCTAGGATTTTAACGCAAAAGCCTTTCTTCCATTTGGCTAAATGAATTTCTGGCATTATAGCTGATGTCAGTTTGTGATGAAAACCCCATATATAATTCCTCACTACGGCGAATTACGACAAATATTGCGAACTGGATAATAAAAGCACCAGTAACACTGTCTGCAGCCAGGTACTACAATATATCCGGATGTTTGGAGAGCGTACAGACTCCTACATGGGCTTGGTTATGTGCATCGTGTCGTTATCCACAAGTAGCATTTTGTGTACTCAACAACCGAAGCGCACATAAACAATATGTGGTTGAGGCTGAAAGAGGTTTTGAGATTTTATCATGGCTCCAGAGGCCGACTGTTCTGTAGCTGTATGGATGATTTCCTCTACTGCATGCATCACGATTTTAGAACCACTTTCTAACCTTGATAATTTTGAAATGTATCCACTTTATTTCCTTGGTTTTGTATAACATATTTTTACTCTATACTAACTGTTTGCTGATTGGATAATATTTCCCAAAGTCACTTCAGATTCGTCCAGAGGTCCTCCATACATTAGAGTCTCGCCGTGTACCAATCTTTAACAGTAAACTATCTCGATAACTGATGTTCAGGCTTTTGAATAATCTCGAGTAAATCCATAATTCTACTAGGAGATTTACCTTCACTAAATATTCAGTTAACGGGATACTAGCAATTGCTGTCAGATTTAGGGGAAATTTGCCTCTACAAGCCTAACTATAACACTACTTTCCCACTTTATGAACCTGTCGCTATTCACTTGTAGTGTCAGTTATTATGCCAAGCTCATATACCTTATTCTAGCTTCCGGACATCCCATTCTATTCATTTTACTTGAGCCATACATTGACCTCGTTATTTATTCGCTTATCAATCTAGACTGTTTTTATATGAGCGTATATGTGTGTGCCCTTCTTATTCCATTAATCACATGTCTGTAGCTTTATTTTGTCTGACTATAAATATTGAGTAACGCTTGACCAAGATGGAGTTGGCTTCCCAGCCATTCTCCCTGTGCGTCATTTTGCTTGGCTCTGTTTCATTCACTCCATATACAAAATATATGTATTCACAAATCAATTCTCGTTATTCGACTTATTTAATTCCGTTATTGGATAACGCGATTTAAGTCGACGATGATATACGAGAATAGGCGATAGCAAACATCCATACGATCTAAATGGGAGTCGAGACGCACGGGCCCCTAAACACTCGCCAGTTTTCGTTTGTAAAATATTCATATGGTCAGTATATGAAGGATCGCGAGACTTACTTTTTATCATTCCTTCTCAACTTTGATCAAAAGCGCTTCTGATTCCTTTCACATATTATCATTATTTTTAAGCTTCTTGTCGACATCAGTTCCCTTAAAATTATAAATACGTCTTGCTGACCAATCCAAACAATGAGAAAAAAGCCAGCCCTACAAATCAACACTTACCGGATAACTCTAAGCAATCGATACGCAGAAACACAGTACACACAGCATAAGTCAGTAAAGACAAATGGCTAGATTTCAACTTGATCGATCATTACTTGAAAACTAGATATATATTATGACCTTGGTTACTACACAAAGCACAGATAGTCCCTAAAATATTCTGCTACATTTAGAATTCTACAAACCAGTTTTCTTTTATTCATAAGATAATTTCATCGTATCACATTTATATATGTGAAACATCCATTAATACTGGAGATCTTTTCCATCACCAAGTGACTTGTTTATTACCAGTGAAAAATACTTAGTTCAGTGTAATAAATTACTTGTGCCTTCATTGTTTTAACACAATTGTAATTGTACGCTTAGCTAGTGAAATGATTGAAACATCATCAAATAAGAGAATGAATCTTTTCATAATCTTTTTATAGAAACAAGAACTATGATAAATAGAATACAATATTAAATGTTATTTACATGTTTGTAAATATCATAGTATGTTCATTTGATAATAAGTAAATAAGTAGTATCTTTAGATGTATGATTTTAGTTAAACTTTATTTTCTCCATTAAAACGATTTTCCTTTACTGCCTTCCTCATACTCTTTCAAATAATTCAATCCAATAAAGTTGACGATGCTTAGGTAGTGTATCAGCATTTTAACATTCAATAGATGCTTTGAAAATAGCTTCATTAAATGTTGTTGCACTAGTTATGTCGGCATAATCATTATTATCATCATTATTATGAATTAAATGAACTAATGAATCATGTAGACCAACATGTAAATTTGTATTCAATTCGATGGATTTCTTTGGTTGTAACCATTGTTTATTAGTTTGTTTATAAAATCGTAGTAAATTTAGAATATCAGTTTTATTACCGATTGTTTGCATAGATGACGATGATGATGATGATGATGATGATGGTGATGATGATGATGATGTTGGTTTGACATTTGTCATTTGAGGTAATAATTTACATAAACGTACAAATTGTTGAGTAAATTCACTATCCCGATTATCTTTATTGTATAAATAGCTGGAATGAAGAAATCAGATAGTTAAAGAATAAAAAAATAATAAAACTGAGTTAGGTTATTATCACTTATTTATGTAACTCTCTTTTTATAAAATTCAATCCTTTACAGTAATTAGATTATAAAGTTAAACGTTGAGTGGTGACATGTGTTATAATGAGTCACAGTGGAACAGTCCCATATTGGTGGGTGTAGACTACCTGGTTGGGAACCGCGAGATGTTAGCAACTGATGGCTAGAGATCCTGAATGACATGGCTCAACATCGTTTGCAATGGCACAGGTGCATCCACTCTTTATGTTCTCCCAAATTCTAATCTTCTGAATTCTTCATGCTACTTTCACTTTTCTCTTTCCAAATTTATCTCACTGTATTATACTCCTTGAATAACATCTTCAAACCCTAATGTTTCCGATTACTGCTTGTACTTTTACTAACTTTAGCACTACGGGATTTGAATTGACAACTGCATCTCTGTGCTAATGTGGTGTGGCAACTCGAACTGATGTACGTACGTACGAAGTTCTACATTGTGACTGACTGACTGTGGCACAGATTCATTCCTTTTCTTATCGTGCGCTATAAAGTAAAGATTGTGCACCTGTATTTTCGAATAATATCCGGATTGTTTAATCTTTCTTAGAATGGTAGCTGCTAAATTATTTTAATTCCTTTTCAATTAAACGTTAATATGTGAGAACTTAGATAAACGTATATACATTCTTCGATTCTACATTGATTATGACTGGCTGTCTAAAGATATATTCAAAACTGTTCGTTATTTATTCCAACTCGGATTACGTATGTGATATGACAATCCAATGGATATAAAGATAGATGTTCAAAGAAGCACAGCGTCTAATTACACGATTGAGATACACGTGCAGAAATGGTAAAGCGTAAATGCTAATCAGTCAGTCAGCTACAACGTAAGACCAGGCACATATATGCATCCTTTCAAGTTGCCATACCTAATCAGCACAGCAAGATGAACACCGGACTCATAGAAGTAGTTAATTCAGTGGTGGTAATATGTAAAAGACTGAGTGCGTATAATGACATAGTACGCGAGGAAAGAATTAGTTCATAGAAAGAAAGATATGAAGCGATTTTAATCTCATAGTTTAAGGAAAGACAAAGAATGTATACAACGACGCCAATGTGATCGATATTGAACCAGGAGAATCTCAGAACTGTTACTCCTATTTTCACAACTACAGTTTTCTGATTCATTGGACTGAGTCCAGAGTTGGTCAAGATCACTAAGTCTCTCATGTTCGCACTTAATTATCAGGTTTATCACAAACTTTTGACAATAAGGAGAAATCTAATTCTTTATATTAGTTGCTCTCTAAATCGTCTATCTTTCATGCATCTGAAATTAGGAAAGTGATGTTGCATTCATAGGGAATTTTTTGTTTTAATAAATACAAACTCATCGATTCAAATGATGTACAGTTATCAAGAACAATAAAGGTTGACGAGTTATTTGAACTGTACCAGATAGAATTGCAGCCGTATAAACACGAATCACGGATGAGTTCGATTCAACTGGTTCAAGGAAGCTTGACAATGGTATAACAAGCTATATTTATACGAACTCTAAACAGAAATAATGAAAATTCGGAAATAAAGATTTAGTGATATCCATGGCAGAATAAATTTCAAAACAAGGAATCTTTAATCTTGCTCTATTTTTAGGATGAACTATGAGTATGAAAGTGACATAGTAGTCCAGAGGTCAAACAAACAAAAAGCAAATCAGACTTAAAACTAACTCTGATTTTACGAGGTTTGAATTTAAAACTTGGTTCACCCCATAGTGCACTTTTTGATGTTTACAACTACAGTTGATAAGTGTCCATTCTGTGAGGATTGCTTTGATAATGTCAGCAATTCATAAGCATTTTTAAGCAGGGATGGATATTATCTATAATTTAGATCCGAACGGTGCGTTACGTTCATTTTGGTACTCACAAACTAGATTTACCTGCATCCCACAGTTAATGTTCACCCCGAGATTAGAACCATTCGCTTCAAACACCATCACGTTGTCTACTTAGCTAATCAGTTCAGATAGCAATTTGAATTTTTCAGTCGGTAACAATCAAATGCTTTGTTATTCATTTTTCACCCAATCGTCCCATTATGTTTACAAGTAAAATTCATCACTCCATGTCTAAAATTATTATAAAATATAGGCTAAATATGACCCAACTTCATTTCGTGTAAAATGTTCTGTAGCGTTGAAAGCGTCTATCTATATGATTAAAAGAAGAATATCTCTTAGATTATTTACCAACATAAGATAACCTAAATAAAAGCTAAGTCCACAATAACTGCCAACAATTGAAATGAAAACTAAGAGAATATAACAATTCGAAAAACCGTCACATCTAAACAGAAATTCAATGAATGTACAAAACCTGAATAGAACTATTAGAATATATGTCACATTACAAGTTCATGTCAACACACCCAATAATAACATACAATTAAATTGAGATAAGCATGACATATTCAAATAATGAAGAAATAGAGACCAGAGGTCAAACAAAACAAAAAGCAAATAGAAAACAGACTTAACAACTAACCTGATTTAAAACAATACGAGGTGAATTTAAAACTTGTTGATGTTCACCCCATAGTGCACATCTATATTTCACATGACATAACTGTTGACAACGCCAAAAAACTAGATTGGCAAACACTGGAGAATCATAAGACAATGCATTGTAGTGATTCACTAGGTCAATATATCTATACAGTAAAAAACAAAAGCGAGTAATGGCACACATGATTATCTATAAAGATCCGAACGGTGCGTTAACTAAATATACCGTTCATTTACCTGGTATTTAAACACATTTTCGAAATTAGAGCTAGTGATAATTCCTGGTCCCTTAAATCAAAGTGGGTAAGATTTAAAAACATTTATAAATGTTACAAACACAATAAAAATGGGACTTTACTTAAGTTCACCCAAAATGATGCGTATTTGGCTTTAATCTGGTACAATAAATCCACAATTACAGATGCTTGGTAATTCCAAACGTATCGATATAACTCCCCAGTGGTGTAATCCAAAGTAAGGTATGGTGTATTCGCTCTCACAGTCTATGAATGTAAATAATATTTATTTTAGATCATAGTTAACTCAATCTCGAATGAAAAAAGAACGGGGAATGTGAGAGAAGCAGTGTATTTGTTAACCAGCAACGATATATCACGCTATGTAGTATCACAACGGAAAAAGTCTTCAAGGTCATTTACTTAAACAACAGGTACAATCATTTAATGATAGATTTACATGCAGTGAGAAATTGACAAAACAAATACAAATAATATTTAAAACTATTTACAAGATAAGCTTGTCAGACTTATCTCCACAGACTGGTAGCCTTTGTTATGGCTATTTACGTTAGCGTGAGAGAGGTCTGCTGCGCGTAACTGGAAGGAGTTGGGACTGTTATTACACATGCGAGCCGTTTTTATGTGATAACTTAGTACTAAAGGGTGTGAAAAGTTTCCTTCTGAGAGTAATTACAGTTGTGATCCTGGGGAATGTAGATAGGGTGTGGAGTGAGAAACTTATTATTACCATTGTTATTAATGATTTTAGGCTGCGTGTAAGAAGGCTTGTTACGCTGAAGCCCACCACCCATTTCGCAACTTCGAGGTGTTGAAGGCAAGTTATATGATAGCAGTGGGGAGAACCCGTTCAACGTTCTTGGGATACTTATAGAGTAGTTGAGTTCAATCTTACGTGTTTCCCTATTCGGTATCGTGAGTCTTGTCTTATTATTATTATTATTATCGTCATCAGAGACAATGTGGTTGCTGGCAATATACAACGAAAATAATGCACATTATTCAGATGTTCATTTACTGAACTGCTAACATCTAACTGGTGATCACTCGATATCTATCGCCAGGACCGACCAAGAAGAAAGAAACGGAAACTTGTTGAAACACTGCGCTGAGAATTCTATATACTACCACAAATATAATATTGAAAAAAGCTGATGATAATAATAACAATAATAAGACAAGACTCACGATACAGAATAGGGAAACATGTAAGACTGAATTCCGTCAGCTTACTGCTCGGCTGTGTTTATCGTCAACCTAACGTATCAGTAGATGAAATAGCAGTATTATCGGAGGTATTCACACTGGCATCATCCCTCCCATTCACAGGCAAGCCTATTTGTGGTGACTTCAATATGCCCGAAGTTTCTTGGCTCCCAGTCAAAGCGCCGAGACGTTATGAATCATTTATTGAATGTCTAGAGTTTGGACAATGGACTCAGTATGTCAATGGCCCTACCAGACATCAAAATATCTTGAACTTAGTCTTTACCAATGGCCTCATCCTCAATACTTTGTATATTGGAAAAAAGTTTCCAGGTAATGATCATAACATTGTCATATGCAGCCTTCATATAAAAGCCACAACCGGTAGACGTAAAACCGTAACACTTCGTAGAAACTATCTCAAGGTTGATTGGAATAGCTTCCACAATTACCTAAGAAACACTGATTGGAGAACTTTCTTTACTTTAAACAATACCGACACATCAACCAATATATTTTATCACAACATCAACAACATCGCACCTTTAGAATACTATAGACCCACGTTCCTCAAATATCTCTATATACCGGCCAGTACAAGACGACGTCTTCAAAGACACTGTACTCGATTCCACAACTTTAATTACTTTTCCTCTTTAGTAACGATGACAAATATTTGTCCAAACAGAAGCAATAAGAATACAAAAAGCAGTCGCGCAGGAAAACCGTGCAGTTGAACTTAATAATAACTCCTCTGCACTCACCATTCTCCTTCAAAATAAACTTCAACGTTCTAAATCGAGAGGGAGCATGTTCATTAAAGACAAACAAGTATACGAAGATCCAAAACTTGTCACAGAATTATTTAGTGAACACTTTTGTTCCTCACTAACTAACGAAAAATTGTTCGATGATTCAGAACCAATCACAGTACCTCCCTGTGAAATTACTAATGTAGAATTCAATGTTCAAAATATCTCCAAAGCAATCAGTACATTGAAACACTCATACACTGATGGACCAGATGGTATTCCATCTAGCATGCTAAAACGTGGAAATGATGATATGTGTGTTTTGCTTCTCAAAATATTCGCGATATCACTCTCTACAGCGTGTTACCTTACTGCCTGGGAAACTACACATATCATTCCGAAAATTAAAACAGGACCTGAAGCAAATGTTGAAAATTACAGGCCCATAAACATAACTTTAATGGTATCCAGAGTGATGGAAAAAGAAATAAAGGCGGCTGTAGTCCAACATCTACTTACTAATAATCTCGTCTCGACCTCCCAGCGTGGATTTATTAGGTCCAGATCATGCGACACATGCCTAGTAGACTACCTGAATGATATAACCCTGAAATGAGACAGCGGACTCATTGTATCAGTCCTATTCTTACACTTTAAGAAAGCCTTTGATAAGGTCCCACACAAAAGGCTACTCGTCAAACTAAAGTCCTTCGGAATAAACAACCCAGTCTTCAGTAATGAGGATAGTAGGTTGATGAACCTGTATTAATCCTGACCCACTGTTTTCCAGTGAAGGTCCAGCTTCTCTTTGAAAGTATTCACTGATGGGACTGATACCACTTGTTCGAGTAAGGCGTTCCAATCATTGACTACTCGATGAGAAAAACGGGACCCCACTTTAAGTTTATTAGATCTTGGTTTATGAAATTTCTTGCTATGACCGCGGAGATTATTAGTGCTGGAGGGAGCAAGAAGATAAGACATATTAACACCCAAATCATAATTAAAGATACGAAATGCCAGTATAAGGTCACCTCGTGTCCTACGATACGACAAGGGGAAAAGATTTAGGCGTTTTAAACGCTCATCGTAAGGGAGTCTAGAAAGACCCTTCACTAATTTCGTTCCCACACGCTGGACACCCTCAAGGGAGTTAGTATCCTTTACCAGACACGGGCTAGCTGCTTGGATACAGTACTCCAAGTGTGGTCTTACATAGGTGGGATATAAAATTCGAAACGTTTCCTCGTCAAAAGTTTAGTCACGCCGTTTTACTTTTGTTCTTCAGTCTTCCCGTTGGCCTTTATTTGTGTTGATTAAAGACTTCCTAATTTTCTATTGCATGTTGCCGGACCATTGACAGTAAGGTTGTGTTTGACTAAGCTCAAGGTCACGGCGTGGTTCAGTTTGTGACTTAACCTTCTGACTGTCTGCTTGGGAGAATTGCTGCAATCCCTGCAGATAGATATTTGATCCCATCTGATTGGGAATATTTGTATTGATTCTCAGGTATCAAACCCTTTAGTATTAACTGTCTCTTTCATTGTTTCGAGTATCTCAAAGACGCGTTGTGGGCTATACAGAGGAACTTGGTCTGGTCTAATCGAATAAATTTTGGGTTCGTCAGTCCGTTGTTCCAACCGAATATTGGCTGTTCGGTCGTTACAGTTCTCAAACGAACAGTAATCTCAAGTGACAAATTCCGGAATGCCTGGAAAGCTCAATAAGGTCAACGAAAACTTGGCATTGGGCCACGGAGAAATGCAATTGGATCCCTCCAGAGGTACGGCAAGTCAAATTAGATGCATTTTCATGTCATGGCTTTAATGTTAGTTTATTAAGTAGACGTAGTAAAGTTAGCCCTAGGATAACCTTAGAGAGGCGTGGGAATGGATGGAAAGGACAGTCATGTGGGAGACGATGCTCGATCGAACGCTAACAGGCTACTATATCACTCAAATTCTACGCATTTCAACCCCCCCTAGCTAGCCATCGAGGCGGAGTTCGGGAGAGATTAATACGGTCTGTTCGGAGGATCTTACTATTTATTTCCACAACAGTGAAAATCCCTCTGCAGCTTTGTTGAACAGTATTTTCATTATTTTCCTTTTTTTACCTGTTTGTTCTTCAGTCTGTTGAGCCTTTATTATGTGATTTTGATTAAAGACTTATTTTTGGTTACCTAATTTTCTATTGCATATGTAACTTGTTCTGTTCTTAATTAGAACCGTTTATATTGAGCACAGAGTTTGTGTTTTGATATAATATAATACGAGTATCTCAAAGACGCGTTGTGGGTATATGGTTAAGCCCCAATGATGAGACAACATTCTGCCATACTCCAAGAACAGATGTGTCTTAGGATAAAGTCGTCAGCAAGACAAAACGGACTACGGTATATTCCCCCTATAGTCACTAACCCACTTCTAGATTTAATCTTACAACATGCAACCTCACGTGTGCCACTGATATGAGCCTCCGATATGGTTGATTGTATACGAAAGTGATCCCTAACGTATGATATTATACCTCCCCCTTTGCGACTTGAAACTCTATCACTTCTAATACAGATATAGCCTGCAATGAACGGAGAACAGTCTATATCTACTGTGAACCAAGTTTCTGTAACAACGATTATATCGGGACATAATTCTTCCACCATCAGACCTAGCTCGGACGTTTTATTTCTAAGACTACGAGCGTTCGTGTAGCACACACTTAAGGTGTTTTGGCAATCAATCGTTCTACCCATACAGGCCTCGGAAGCATTGGCTTCCAAGACCTGACTACCCGAAAACCCTTAATGGTAAGGTTATTTTCGCCATTTAATTTGCGAGTCCTCAACTCTGTAAGAGCATTCTTCCACTTGATTCGATCCTCAAGCGGCCAATCCGGTCGAATACGGATATTTGAGTCACGAGTTTCTGGTGCGTTTTTCAATAATATGTCTCTTTCTTCGAAACTCCCGAGAACCAGCTTCAGGATTCTTCTTGGTTGGGTCCCGCCTCTAACGCATTTTCCAAGTCGCATTACTTTCGT